CATTTGCACATAATGATGAATGTCTTATATCTGTACTGGAATGTAGTCTAAAAGATGGTTCATTCAAGAGTTGTAAAAGTACTGTTCCGTCTTATGTTGCTCATGAAGGTGACGATATTAATGCAATCGAATGGCGTCTGACAAATCCAGCAGATATTGAAATCATATCTGTACTTTTTATTCCTGTGATAATATCAAAAACTGAAGCAGTGAAATCGAGAGCTAAGAAACTTGGTGTTAATCCAAATAGTGTTAGATAAAAAATGTACAACAAATATTATCTTTTTCAAATTTTTAATTTTTTAAAAATTTTGTATTTGATGTATAATTTATCTGCTTATAAATTGTAACGCATAAAATTATTAAGATGAGTTTCTTGAAAAAAACCTCTCCCTGAGTCTATACCAGAATTGTCAATGATGCCGTAATAATCAACGCCATTCTGGTCTGCTGGACCAAAATCGCGTTGATTGTTGCGGCATCATTTGACAGTTCTGGTCTATACAATCCTCGTTGAAGAGACTGTTGAGAATGCGGATGAATCAAACTTTATTTCTAATATGAATGGACTATTTGATAACATAACCGTGATTATTTTTAACGAATGTTAGTTCCATTAGATTTATCTTGGATATTGTCAATCGTATTTTCTTTGAACTTAAAAGGAATATTTTATTCTTCACTCAAGAATGGTTTATACTGTGTTTCGTTCAGCCGAGAACTTTCAATTGACTCCTCAATATGAACCTACATTTGCAAATTTTTCTATTCGAACAATTTTATATTTCAACTGATATACATTAACCGCAGAATGAAGAACACAATAATAGAATGAAATCAGTTACGTTGTCATAAAAAATTGTATTTTAATCATAAAAACATGAAGATTTATGTCACTTCTGCGAACTAAAGATTTTATATAAATGTTTGATTGTTTCTTTGTTTTGATGCAAATTTTCATTGATTTTTTCTAAAAAGAGAGCTTCTTGAGACATCATATCGCTTTTGAGCTCATCTTTTAGCCATTCATAGGAGATCTTGAGGCTATTTCTTTTCGTTATTTGATTGCAATTGTTCTCTGTCATCGTGCTACCCAACATCGTCAACGTTGTACAAACAATGGTTTATTTTTAAATTCTGCTGCTTACTTCGCTGATTCTCTATTCTCATTATGTTCTTTTTTCTTGCTGAAAATGACTAAGATGAAAACAGAATTAAATCTTACATGTATTGGTGATTTAATAATATGTTGAACAAAAAAATATTTCCTTTGTGTTGCTGGTTCATTAACCTGCAATATCTATTATTTTCAAATCGCTTCAACACGCATACGTGTTATATATAGACGACAAACAGTATGCTTAACAGGAATGATGACTAATTTCTTCTCGAATATATATATATTGTCTTACTTGATTGATCCACTTACGATAAATATCGGACAGGACGTTGTCAATCTTCGATCGAGTGCTCTAGTGTTATCTCAAAAATAATGCGTATCAAGTTGTAACACTCATCAATAGTCACATTACTCCTAGGCTAATCAGACATATATAGGTTACTAGAAAATGAGTGATTGCATGTAGTAATCGTACTGTTTTACTTCGTCATTTCTTGCCTAATTACTTTTATTTCGATGATTCATTTAAATCAACGTTAAAATTTGATGAAATGAATGATTTTCTTTTGACACGTGCAGTAACAAAAAATTTGTTGATAAAAGTTGCTATAACATCTTATATTTAACATCTTATATATAGATCCTCAAAAAGGACTGAAGAATTTTTTAGATTTAGTTTTTTGTCTTGTTAAATATTTTATAAGTTTTCATCGAACTATTTTGAATAAAAAAACCGATTGTTAATTAGTCACAAGTTGATTTTCAGCAATGCTTGACAAAACAATAACTATCGATTTTTATTTGATTATGATGGTAGTGTTCATAAAAATTTTCGAATATTTCAGAAATATACTCGAGTCATGTCAGTGAACGATATAAGAGAAAGAACAGTTATAGAAGAATGTCAATGATCATCTATAAATCTACTAAACTTCAACTGAAGCAGATATCAATATGAATTTTACTATATTTATACTTCTAATACGATCTCACCTGAGCAAAATTTAAATTCTGTCTCAACTACTAATCCGAATGATTTTCACTAAATCTCGACTAATCAATTTAATTGATGTGGATAGTATATGCCTGTTTTCAAACTCGAATGTCTGCTGTTCAATTTATTGTTGAAAACAAAACGAATAGAATATTCGGCTAACGCATGTTATTGTGACATTTTCTATCTCAGACAAGATTAATAAACTACTCTATCAGAACAAAAATCGTATACAGCCAATTTCTTTGAAGTATTAATTCTTACTGTTGAAACGATAATCATTTTATACGGATAAGTTTACACATAAAAGTCAACAAAATTTTTAACGTGAAATAAGAGATAAAGATTATCTTCAACTTATTGTTACATTTTAGAAAATGGTCTCATATAGATCTACAATATATCTATTTTGAGAAATTCATAGTATAATATAATACGTTCAATAATCGATCCAGTTCTATTAGAAGTTTTTTTTCAATTTCTCTTGGACTAAAGAAAAATGATCGATTGTTAATTCATCGACAAAAAACGTATTATGAACGTACCAATATGATTTAACGCCGTAATAAAAAACTATATATTAAATATAATGCTCCCATTAATAGATAAAAAGCATCATTGTGTAAAATAGAAACACAACAGCTTTTACTTGTCAAAGAACATATGCCCGATTTTCTTTCAGTTCTGTCTGCACATTGGTAGAACACGAAGAAAGAAAAAAGAGAAAAACAAGTAAAAGAACGCGCAAAAGAAAAAAAGTGGTGTCAGCAGTGGGAGTCGAACCCACGCCAGCATACGCTGACCAGAACACTCCACCTCACTGAGGAAGCATTACGCTTGAGTCTGGCGCCTTAGACCACTCGGCCATGCTGACTACAATGATACCTTATTTGTAAGTCTATGTGATTGTATAGAGAATCAAACAAAGAAAATAAAAAATTAAACTGCTTGTTAGATTTTATTATGGGTGTGTGTCTCTACATAGGTTTTTTTTATTCTATACAATATTTTATAGATGAATAAAGAAAAAAAATTAAATACAATAAAAAGGATTTGAAGACTTCCAAAGATATGTTTAAACAAATATTTGACTCACAATAATGAACAAGAATTTATCTTGAGTCACTACGCGTCAACCACTCGAGCATCATTACGAAAGCAAAAAAAAATCTACAAATATATTCTCATCAAATTTAAGAGAAAAAAATACATTTATTTATTAATCATTTAAAAAAATATCACATATTTCAGAATCTTTTGCTTGGTGCAAAATTTTATCGAATAATTATCAATTTAATATTCTCTTAACTAATTATTTAAAAATAATCAAAATAAGAGAACATTTTCTGATAATTTACATTTCTTATCTCATTATCATATATTCAAAATAGGAAAAGATAAGTCATGTCATTTACGTGTCATTTTGCTATTACCATCATCAATACTGACAGAGTATTTCTTCTCATATTTATCATTATGAAAATAATATAAAATAAAAAACATATTTATATCTGTAATGTCTTTAACACATGTATAATATACATAGAATGGGAAAGCAACAGATGGTCGAAAAATTCATAATAGAAGAATAAACTGTTTTTTTAAATAAAAACTTCGACTCAGATGAATAAGCTAAAGCAATGCAAACAAAAAGACGGAAGACACTATTAGAGAATTGCAAATCATTACAAAGAAGCATATGAACTTGAATTTCTATTCAAAACTAAAATTTTTAGATGTACAGATTTTCATGAAGTTATACCGAAATTAATTCTAATAGAAAAATGAAACTAAGAAAAAAAAATGAATTTTAAGAGTGTGTTGGTGATATAAGAAAGATCCACATCCATATTTCGTTGAAAATTTTGTTTAAAGTACTGTATTCTAAATTATTGCTCGTTTCAAAAATCTATTCTATAAGTATTAATTAACTATCAAGTCAATAAAGAAATCATGACAGCAATGTTTAACTTATCAATATCATTCGTTCATCATTCTTGAAACGTTTATTCTAATCATAATGAAACAAAAATTATTTCACTAGGTTTTTCTGTAAAAATCCATGATTATCAGCGCCCCCTCTATTCAATGTCATTTTTTTCTTTGCTTCCATCGCGACAAGCAAATAGTGTACAATAATAATGTCACCTTTATTCTTTTTATTTCTGTCATCATAAAATTGAATCAAATGCTTAATATTCATTTACGTTCAACAGGAGAACGATTTACATTACAAACTATTCATTTTGATACAAAAGTTCGTGAATTAAAAACAATTCTTGAGATTATATGTGGTATACCTGCACATCTTCAATTATTGTCCTATTTGGACGAAGGTACTTTAGTCGATTCACAAAAACTTAAATATTATGATCCTGTTCCTAATTGTACATTTGAACTTGATGTGTGGTTTATCTATGAACCAATTGTACAGGCTGTTGTAGCTAATAACGAAGCTAAGGTAACTTTTTCTTTTTACAAGTAATGTGTTAAGGCCTCTTCCCTTGAAAATCGATTTTATCTCAGAAACATTCAAATCGCATAAAATTTTTAACTAACTAAGGTCAAAAACAGCTCATTTCACAACCTGAATATCTCGATGAACCTTGATTATATAGACTTAATTTTTATTTTGATTGAGAGAGTATGTCAGGATGCAGGGCATTACAGAGTCCTTTTTTTTAAATTCCTACTTTTTAAGGTGAGAACAGAAATAAAAAATTCAATGTCTCGAAAAACTCTCAAAAAATGGCATCCTAATTATAAAAGGACTCTTACAGCTACTTCCAAATTTATCCGACAGCGCTTATTTCCATTTTTTTCCGTTCTCTTGAGCGTTAAAACGAACCTCAATAGTAAATTGGATAGGGAAAATTGTTTCCAACAAGGATCTGAGGAAATGAAGAACATTACTTGACTTCCAAAGGTAGGGTCTTCAAAAAACCGAAAACTTAGCTTTTCAGCATCTAGAATCCGCGAATATAACTTCTTTGAACTGCACAGAATGATAGAGCAAACAATTCTCTACAAAATAAGATATTTCTGAACTCTCTACGATGTTTTTTGACCGAGACACATCAATTTTACGGAAGGTCCGAAAATGGCTTTTCCACAAGAAATAGCAAAAAAAACGATTTTTGGATTTTTTTATAAAATTGATGTATCTGGATCAAAAAAAGCATTGTAGAGAGTTTGGGAACGTCTCATTTTGTAGAGAATTGTTTGCTCTATCATTCTGTGTAGTTGAAATAAAATTATATTTCCAGATTCTAAATACTAAAAGACTAGGTTTGGTATTTCCTGGAGACCTTGTCTTTGGGAATCAAATAATTTTTTTTATTTCCTCAAATCATCGTTGGAAACAATTTTCCTTACCCAAATCACTTTTTGGATTCTTTTTAGCATGTAAGGGAACGAAAAAAAATTGAAAATAAGCTCTGACGGATAATTTTAGGAGTCATTGTATATAATAATAAAAAAGCTTAATTAAAAAAGATCTCTGTCATACTCTGCATCATGACATGGTCTTTCAAACAAAAAACAAAGCTATTGATTACAACGAAGTTTTTTCGAGAATTTTGAGATACACGATCGAAAAAAAAAACATAAACAGAGAAAAAACAAAAAAGGTTTTTGCACTTTGTCTGAAGAAACCATATTTTTCAAGCAGAAAATGACGGAAATTTTTGAAAAAAAATCGAGATGCCAAATATAAAATCATGTTATTTACGAAAAATCAGATCTCGAACTATAGTTTTCCGCATTTATCTCAATTATAATGTTTTCCAAAACATTTGACTGCTTTTTTAGAGGACTTAAATAATTTCAAAATTCAAATCTACTCTATTCGATTGTCATTCAAAACTTGAACTAAATAAATTCATAGTCAATATGTTAGTTTGAAGGATATAAAATGAACCAATTTTTTATTATGTAAATTAAACTTTTTGTTATTTTGTTCTCGATATTCTGTACTTGCAGTCATGTTTTATTTATCTAATAGTCAAATGATTTCAACTTCCGTATGAAGTCTATAAAATACAATTCTATTCATCAACCACTTTCGTCTAGATGTTCTACAAGAAATAATATAGTCATTAATCATTTATGATAATTTTATCCAACAGTTATATATTCATTTCAAGGAAATAGAATATTAGTGAAAAGGAAAAATAGTTGAATGTATTCAAACTAAAGCAATTCTATTTGATGGCTAGAGTTGTTCTTTTGTAATTATCGATTTTAATAATTCTATTATGTTTTTTAATGTATTATAGCTATTTGAACTTGGTGTTCTGCCAGACGTACCATTCTCATCAGCCATTGCCGATCGTCTATCTCCATCAGATAAACAAGCATATATACTAGAACGAGGTAGTGTTGCTATGTTTACAGCTGCACATCGTGAAAGACTTAATATTGTACGTCATTTATGTGAACGTAGTAAGTAAAACATCACTATAGGTTAATGGATATAAGATTACTACTTATGAAAAATGAAATTAAAAATATATTATTTTATACTAACAGATGTTGGCATCAATTATCAGACAGCAGCAGGACGTACACCATTAATGGTAGCAACTGCTCGTGGCTCATTACGGGTAATGGAATTACTTTTACATCATGGGGCTCGACTTGATATTCGAGATGCATATGGACAAACAGCTGAGAGTTTTTCTATAATTTTTAATCAAAAACAAAGTCGTCGAACGATTATACAATTTAATTGGAAGCGACGAAATGCAAAATCATTGGTTCGAGAACGTGAAGCTAAACTTGCTATGAGTCGACAAACCAGTAAAAATGATCAAGCTGTTGAAGAAGCAAATCGTCAACGTGAAGAGAGACTTGCATGTTTAGCAGATCAACGAAAAAAAAGACAAGAACAAATTACTGCTCAACAACTACGTTTACGTAAAAAGAAGAGTAAGATTATATTAATATTTAATTTAAAAAGAAAAAAAAACAGATTTTTTATCCGGTATGGGAATTGAAGGTTGAGTTAGCCCCTCTGCAGTTTGTGGTTATTTTGTCATGTACTACACGCTCTGAAAATAGATGTTCGTCTTCCCAAAATTTTAAATCACCGATCCAGAAAAGAAAATCTAGATAAAACACTGAGAAAAACATGATTATATTTTCTTTTCTAGGTCCACAAACACAAACAAATCAACGTACATCAATCGTTCGATTTGAAGATGATGACAACGAACAAGATTCTGATAATTATGACAGGTCACCAGAACGTATATCAATGACTGATTCATCTTTAGTACAAGCTCCATCATCGTTACCACCCATCAGTCAACAATCATCTTTACCAACACAAAAATTATTTGCTCATCAATTCTATGATGTCTATGCAGGCATGACAGATGACGAATGGATAAAAGTACGGAATGCATTTGTTGCACAATACTTTTCTGAATAAAATTAAAAAGATTATGAAGAAAATACATGTATGTTTAATTATATATTGATGAAGTCGATACAAGCTAAAAAAATAAAATATAGTTTAATTTAACTTCAATTTTTCCAAATATATTTATATTTGCTACTTTCATTATCACAAAGAAATTTTAAAAAAATTACAGAATTAAAAAAAAATAAAGACAATCAATTATTATAATACGAATAACTTTGCCCTTTATTTCATTCTATTAGTAAGACCTAAACTTGGTTGTAATCTTAATAATTCATTTGAATTAATAAGAGTAGATGATGGTGTTCTTGTATATGTTTTATCTGAAAAAGTTACGAAAGGTTCTTCTATCCAAATAAGTGTTGATAATGTTGGTTCATTAGTATTTCGATTTTCATATATAGTTGCTATAGGTTCATCATGATCTTGAATTTTTTGAGAAACACTACTATTACGTGCACGTTCTATTTCAACACGTTGAAAAACATAATCTCTATAGACAGATGCTTTTTTT